ACCATAATGATTCTATGATTCTATTTCATCTAAAATTTTCCTGAGAGATTAGTCCTGGTATTTCAAGAATTCAGAGGAAAACTCATTCATCTGAAAGTGAACTAGCACATGCAATATTTTAATGCACCTTTTATTGACATAGCAAACACTGTTAAGCCCCTCACTCACTGACTTGTTATAAGAAAACTTTTAAGCAGAGAATGACATGAAGCAAGTATTCCTAGTGCTGCAATTGCAGCTGAACTTGTGAAACTTTCTGGGTTTGTAAAGGTGAATAGGAGGCTGCCTAGCATTCAGGAGATCTCACCTTCTACGTCATTCTCAGAACTTGTCTCACTGAAGCTTTTCCATCGTTCCTTAGCTCTTGACAAGAAGATTTCATAAAGTTCTGCAAGAAAGCAAAACAAAACGAGTAATAATAAAAGGAAGAGGTAAGAAAGAAAAGCACCTATCCAAAACCAAAAGCACACTAAGTATTCTTGGCTTTGGTTTTGTTGCTTGGTTTCATCTCAACCACCGGGGGCGGGGGGAGAATCTATTAGATGGTTTCCACTAACCCCTGGAGTACCATTATACACAGTTTTATGGTACGCGCTGTATCATGCTTTCTTCTTTGGTGAACATGCAGATTACAAGAGGAAAATCATGTCAAATAATTCAGATTTTTATTTTTGTGAATGGGTTAGAACACATCCAGCTCATCAAAATCATTAGTTACAAAGTGAAGCAATTCCCCTTTCCACCTCCTTAAGAAAGCAAAGATACAAATTCTCAGTTTTAAAAAGAAAAATTGGGGGGAAAGGTTTGGTTGGGGGGGGTGCACTTTAACTCTCACAAGACTAAAATGTGTTTGTAAGCAGGTTTTGAACTTTGTTTCCATAATTTACCAGGGTATGATGCCTAATTGAATAAATTGTACAAAACACCTGTTGCTAAGGTTGCAAAATACAGTTCTTCAAAAAGCAAATACACCAATTTATCTTTTTTTAACAAAAGTTTAAATTTTTCTTTCAAAATAACCAACTTAGTTTTGCATTAAAATACGATCTGTTAAGGCATACCAGGAGTGATATTTAATTCATTTCCCACAGCTAGACTCCAAACTTTCCCACGTACACTTGGAGGTAATCCCTGCCACCACAGCTCTCGAACTCTTCGGGTAGCACGCCTAGGATAGGGAAGCAGGAGGAGGGGGTAGAAAAAGAGAGGCACATATGGCACATCTTGTTTTCTAAAATCATTGGGCAATTAACATGCAAAATAACATACTATTTCCTAAATCAAAATTCAAGGATCTCTGCTTATGCTAAAGCCTCATCAAAAAAACCTCAAAACACTAAGCTCCCGGAAACCACATTTGATGTTGCTCTATAATGACCTCTCACTATATCATGGCAATAGAAACTGACTTCTTGACAAAACAGAAAGGAAAAGGAAAACAAGGTATATAGGTCCTCTGTTTCCAGAGGAGAAACAAGGCAGCCTTGCCTCATTTACACAACAGAACTTTACTTACATGCCTTCCCAGTTGGGTAGTATTTCATTGACCCAAATCACCATAGCACTAGCGATATTCTCTTCTTGCTTGAAACGCTCTTTCATTATTTTTTTCCTTTTATGTGCTTCTTTAATTTCTGTCAGACATAACATGTTAATAATTCTGTATTAGTGTATATAAATTATTAAGTAAATAATTCAGCTGTTATCTAATTATTTAGATGTCTGAAAGAGATCAAGGGTAAATTCCATTTTGACATAAGTTAGCTGGTACTACTTCCATTGATTGTAGGTGTATTTCTCAGGAAATTTTTTAATTTGAGCTAAGTTATTCAAATATACAGCGATTTAGACAAGTAAAAAAATCTGGCTGGAAAGCTCGTAGCAGTCTTTTCTGCAGTACACAGAATGACTAAAAAGTAAGCACATCATCAGTGCTGGTTTTCCGGTAATAAATTTCACAGCACATTCTACCTAAACCTTACTTATTACTTAAACTAATCGGCAATAATTATAGATAAAATTATTATTCAAAAGTGCAATTCTACATCCATTTTAAAATTATTCAAATTTTACTGAAACTTCCACCTAGAAGGATTATGTATTTCCTTTTCTGTAAAGAGGACTTAAAGATCTGAGACAAAGGCACAATGCTGAACAAGAGAAGAGTATTCTGCCTTCTGTTAAAAAGAATCACTAGTAGATCCCTCTAATTAAAAAGGCTAAAAGAGTAACAGAGCAGTGCTATCTTGACATCAGTAAGAACCACTGTGAAATTGCAAGACATTTTCTATTTATGTATGCAATAGACAGAGTAAACATGCCATCCCTGGTAAACAGATATGGCTGACTAGCTTCATTGTTTTTACTGAAGCTTTGTGTGTGTAGCAATAGTTAATTTAATGAATACTAGGGCACAGGTACTAAAACACTACACATGGCTGACCCTCCAAAGATGCAGTTACAGAACATGGACCACAGATTACACCTTAAAAGATGCACACCACAAGAGAAGAGAAAAACGAGTTGTCAAATGCCTTAGATTTCTTATTACATCTTTCAGAGTAAGCTGCCACAGATCCACAGAGGCTTAATCAGTTCAGAAGCTTGTATCTCCCACAATAGGCCAAGTAAAACATGCAGCACAAATTCTTAAAATAGCTTATTCCCTGAATGCTAGGCACAAGACTACAGAAGTCCTTTCAACAACTGTTCATAGATTGACACAGTACCAGATGCTACAGATATGTTTAATTTAAAAAAAAAATATCTAGCGGGAGTATGAGGGTTCACACAGCTACAGCTGGTTGGAAAAAGCCCCAAAGTTTTCATCTGTCTTCACATTGCAATTGACGTAAAATTCCTGAAAAAAAAAAGATCTTTAAGCAGTCAGCTTTGTTATACTTCAGCTCTCAGTGGCAACTGCAGCAACACAGCTTGAAAAAAGAGTCTGAGTACCCAGAAAGTTTCTAGCTGATCATATTACACAGGTAGGTTGGTTTTGTTTTTTTTTAAAAAAAACCAAACATAATCAAGTTTCTACTTAAAAATTAAAGAAAAGGTTAAACTGCCTTCTGCACCTAGTTACACTCACTGTGGTGGAATAAGAAAACAATTTGATAACTGAGTTCCGTTTTAAACTGTGTGCGCATATGTACCAGAGAATAACCTAGATATTAAAAAAGGTTGTTCTTTACCTACTAGCCTACAAACCAGAAATTACTTTACTTTTGCTGCACAGTTAAAAAGAATTATAGTGATTATTGGCAGTTAACATACCTCGTTTTTTTGCCTCTGCCACCATCTCATCATATTCTTGACGGTGACGTAAAGCCTCCTCCACTGACTTGGCAGGAAGATTTCTGAAAACAAGTTGTTCCTGAATTCAATATGCACAAATGACATTCTGAACCATTTCAAAACAAGTTTTAATTTGGCTTCTAAGGTGAGCTTTGGGGTTGTCACACTACCAGTGTTTCAGTAACAGCAGTAGAGAACTACCAGATGTTTACTGCTTCCGTTTATTAGTTCTCCTATAGCTTCCCCCAAAGCAGGGTTATTACATTTGTTGAACATCTGGAATGATGGACAAATGAAGTCTGCATGAAGTGATAAAAAGGAAATACTGATATTCCATATAGTTATTCCAATGCATTTCTGCACACGCCTATTTTAATAATTAAATCTACCTGCGTATTGATACTCCATTTGTTTATATGAAGTATGTGATGATGTATTTGCAATAAAAGGTAAAGGTTTTTGTTCATTATAGTCAGCCCTTGAAAACCCCCACAAAATAAGATAAGTTTACCAAAGGAAGAAATGATAGATCCCCATTTAGGTTGGAGCTAAAGCTAAGGAAGCTTGCTGCAGTGCTACAAGTTCACTAGTTTAAAATGCATTTTTGGCTACGTAGCGATTCCCTAATTCCCAAACACACACTCCTTTTGACTAGATTCATTCCAAAACAAATCAGAACACTATGTTTGGTCTCAGTCTCTTCTCCAATCTCTAGTCTACTTCGGTTCAAAATAAACAGAAGATAGTTTTGTCATTTTAATGGGGGGGTGGCAGGGAGAAGAAGTTTTCCCATCTCCTCTTATAAAAGCAGAAAAGATCACTTTATTAATATTTCCAATAAAAGTGAAAGCAGAATATATTTTCAAGGATGAGATTGTGGCAACACATTACACACTTGGGATGGCACTCCAATTTGAAACAAGTGGAAGTATGATTTGTAAAAACATACTTATGTTACTTCGTAAATTGTGATATTTCGAAAGTAGAGAAAAGCATGAGCAAACTAGTTACTGCATATCTTACTCTCCACCATACAGTAAAAGAAATAATGCATTTACAAAAAAAATAATCATAGCAATCCATACCTCCATTTAGTATATTTCTGTCTTAGCACTGAATGAGCTTGTGTACCATTAGAGAGAAGACTGAAGGAAACACTATATGTTCTATTTTCCATTTCTTAATTGGAACTGATTAGAGCAAACATTTAACAGTGCCATCACAAGCTTTCTCAATGTGCAAATTTGAAAGCTTTGCTCCATTTGCATTCCTCCAGCATGTGTTCCTAGTCAGCACGTCCTCCTCTTTCCTTCAAATTGCTGAAGACTGTATAGGTGAAAATACTGACCAATTTATTACCCATTTTTTATTACTATTCTTATTTGCACTTAATGCAGTTTTTGTCACATCTTCATCTGCTATTTCCTTGCCTTCAGCTGTAGTTTTAAGGAGCCACAGAAACATAACTGCAACAGGGGCAAGGAACAGTTTCAGTGAACAACTTGACTGTAGCATCTTGGTACCAACAGGGCATTTAATTGTAGTTGCCAGTTACAAAATGAGCATTCAGCATTTGTGACAGGAACGTATTTCTTGTGTTTCAAAGACAATTCTTCCCACCCCTGCTGTTACCTACCTAATACTTTTTCTTTTTTTCTTTTTTTTTTAAAAACACTTTTCTGGGTAAGCCAAATCCAGGTTTGCTGAAATGACAACTGCCACTGTCAAGTCTTCCTGACTGGTCTAGGAAATTAAGTTTCCAGAATGGGGTAAGAAGAAGGGAGCGTGCACTGAGATGGCAGCGAAGAAATCCACAGAAGTCTTCAGGAATTTTCCTGATAAGGATGTCCACAACACTGTCCTAGGCAGCTGTGATATACAGTCGTTAACAGCCTGGTGGTCCCATTACAGCAAGAAAGAATTCCTCATATAGACTACAATATACTTAAAGGTTCTTCTGGAGGTATTTGTTAGGCTATTATCTGGGGTGGAATAATATAATGATACTTCCGTGTAAGACTTGTGAAGTTTAGCTCATCAGAAGCATATCTAACAAATTCAGTCATTGGCAGTTCCACAGAAGAATCATACTTACGCTGGTCGATCCTCCAGAATCAAAGCAGTAGTTGAAAGTGGTTCAAATTCAATATTTTTACGTCTTGCTGAAGGGGGTGGAGGTTTATACATTCTTCCTGTCCGTGCTTCATATTCCTAAACAACATTATTGATAAAAATTAAATTTCAACTGTTAGCCTCACTTCTAATTAGTAAGCATAATGTTACTTGTTTAACACTTTAAAAAAGTTAAAATATATAATATTAAACAATTTCAGACAGCAAGGACCTAACATTACAAGTTGAAATTGTTTATAGCAAGACAGTGCAGCTTTCCAGTACTGCTAAGCAAAGATGAATGAGAAAGCAGTTTCTTGTATCAATTTAATCTTTGATTTATTGTAGTTCAATAGTACTAGTGAGCATCCAAGGATCAGTTAGTTAGGAAATCTGCATAATCTTCCCAAATTAGTGCACAAGTATATTTCAGTAATATGTGAAGTTGAAAAAAAAAACACCACAACAATAAAACAAAACTAAAAATCCACAAACCACCACCAAAAAACACTAACCAAGAATAGGTGTCTCTTCCCATTCTTTTCTTTTGACTCTAGCCACCCTTAAAATGTGGTACTCCTCACGTTTCTGAAGCCTTTAGCAAGGCCATCAAACCCACATTATCCAGAACTACCTACACTATGCTCAGTGACAATATAACAATATTTATCATAAAAAGTCTGTTTCACATCATTTCTTTCTCAGATGTTAAAACATGCAATCTACTTAGAAACACTTAACAGCCTTTAATACATGGAAGATTCTGAGGAAGAAAGAATCCCATTCCTTTTTCCACAAGAGCAACTCAACAAAACAGAAATATGAGACAGTCTTTAGGTAAAAGGCTAGACAGAGCCAGATGAAAACCTCAAATCTCACATTTCTTCTTTTTTAGCCTCTGTAAATAAACATTTACTACTAAGTTACTGGGAAACCCATTCTTACAATCCAGCAAATCTTAAAACGTTATCTGTGAGAAGACTTTCAACTTATTCCCAAACCAAGTTAGCTTGTGGGTTCATAATCTCCTTAGGCATGGAGAGAAACTGGTATTTAGTCTTCAAGTCTTCCACATGCTGGAATTCAAACATAGAATACTCAGAGCTGAAAAATCATCTTTTTAAGAGAATAAATTCAAGGCACTTTAGTAATGTACTATCATAGGTCACACAGCTCTATTCTTATGCACAGCCAAGTGAGCTCTAACTTGTACAAGCTTTTATTTATCTAAAGACAGTTTGTTCTTGTACATCTGTTACTTTAATAATTGTGTATGTAAATTCAGTCTAAGATTAACCAAAACATCTTACACTTAAGTCACCAAAAATAAAAACTTGATCAATCACTAATTAGGTCATGTTTCTTCCCAGTCTTCTCTAGAAACTGCTCCCAAACGAATCTCACACCTAATACATAGCTTCTTGTACCCATTAGTTCTCCCATGGAGAAACAGAGGGCTTTACACATTCAGTGTTCACTGACAGCATTATAGAAACAGAGCTTACAACTTTAACGCTATTACATAGCTTAAAAGTTCAATACACAGTTGAAGTCCATAAAGTTAAATGGGAAAAGAGCTCTTACAAATGCAACAATGCAGCCTCAGATTTCCAGAGAAGGCACAAAGTATTGGCCCAACTCTAAGGTGGCTTAAAGCTTTCTGCTCATTAGCCTCCTTACCCTACCCATTTTAATGATCTCTAACAAAATTTCTGTTCTTCCACATTGGGTGTAATACAATAAATGATCCAAAAAGTATAACCTCAGTGATGCTAATCTCATCTCAAGAGGAAGTTTTCACATAATCATTGAGGTTGGAAGGGATCTCTGGAGATCATCTAGTCCAGCCTCCCTGCTCAAAGTAAGGTCAACTACAGCAGGTTGCACAGGGCCTTGTTCAGTCAGAGTTTTAATATCAGCAATGATGGAGACTCCACTCTTGCTAGGCAGAGGCTACAGCAGCCGGTATTCCCACGTGATTTCCCATCCAAGTACTAACCAGGTGCTAACTAACTGTTAGCTTCAGAGATCAGAGAAGATCAGGTGTGTTCACAGTGGTGAGGCCATATACATTATATGCCACTATACTTTTCAGATCCTGAGGAGTTATCTGGACTTCTTGACCTTTTCTTTTTCTGGTTTGTGGGAGTCAGAACAATAGTTTAACTGATGAGAAAACATGATTGCACCTCCACAAAACAAGCCAAAGAATAGTTTTGAAACATTCTCAGTATCTTTTGAAGTTGTTTCCACCCCACCCAAGCCTTTAGCTATCCTTCCAGTTATCCACCCTTTAACCACTGTATCATACTCTGCCCCACGGCAGCGTACCAAATAACTCATTTTGTTAGCATCCGGGAAAGACAGGCACAAATCTATAGCAACCAGCCTACTATTTCAACTACATGAGAAGCTCAGTTGCTTTTCCATCTTCAAAAGAAGCCCAAATATGCACCTTGTTTACAAAAAAACAAACAAGCAACTGTTATCATCATTTATACATACATTCACACTAAAACCCTAATTCTTTGTAAACACAATGACTTAAAAGTTACTAGACAACTGTTCTTAAATACAACTTAGTTCTAAATCTTTCTAAGTCTCTGGCCAAGAATAGTGGTTATACAAATTTCCTAAAACATATTCCTCTCCTGAAGGGTAATTCCCAAGACAGCTTTTGATTGAAAATAATATGCATCCAACATAATTCGGCACATTTAAACAATTATCTTGAACAACTGGACATATAAAATTGGTAGAGTTCTGTTGCAATTCACACAAGTATGAGAAAAATCAGAAAACCAATAGTCACTGTATGAATGAATATACATATTATTCTTAAGCCTAAAATTATTCCATTCCACCTAAAGCCAGAGAAATTATCGGCACTCCTGCCATGCTTTATACCTCAGGATACTCCAGCACATTCTTAAGTTAGGAACGTATCATGTGATAGCACTCAGAGATCAGCATCCAGGCTGCAGTACAGTAGCAATGCCGTCCCTCATATTCTTGGTAGAAGTTCTGATTTACTTTCACATTTTCCAGTACTTTGTAACAGCAGCCACAAAATCAAGTTCATTTAGTGGTTAGAGAGGAGGAACGGAAGCTCAATGTTCCTACATACCTAATTTGCATGCAAGTTAAATAAAGTACTGCAAGATGGACATTAGAAATGAAGTCACTGTCACCTTCTTATTACAAGCAACACATTTGAATGGTGTTAGTGCTTCTGGCTGCCATACATGCTAAGAACTGATATACTATTTCCAAAGTAAAAGAGGGGAAAAAAAAAGAAAAAAAGAAAAAGAAAAATTATTCAACAGGGTTTTCCACAAAAGACAGAACTCATTACCCAGCAGTGTTTCTGGAAGTAAATACACTTTATGAACAGTTGGTTTTTGCAAGAGAAGAACACATGAATAGAGAGGGAAAACTGTAAGCATTACTAGAAAGAGTCAAAGCAGAGACTGAAATAGCTTCAGGCTCAAACTGTCACAGCTGCACATTCCCCAAGATGAAACATATTCCAAAGTATCAGAATTTCCCAATGGAAAATGCTTCTTTCTCAAGAAGCCTGTGCTCTAGGAAACTTATAAGAAGATTAGATCCCAGAACCATCAGACACACATGGAACTCGCTAGTTTGTGCAACTAAAATATCCATTTTTTCCCTGGAGTATTTTGTATGACCAGATGTAAAGAATCCAATAGCCTTAACCATGCATTTGATGCAGAATTTAAAATTCTCAGCATAGGATAAAAAGCTTGAGCTGACATAGAATTTCACTTCAAAAGATGTGAGCTAATACTCTTCCATTAACAAGGTAAAAATACAATTTAAAGTCAAATGTCTTGTCAAATGCTTAACATGCAGGGCATATGCCAGAGGGTAGAACAGTTGACAGCTATGATTCAAGACTATGTAAGACCTGTTTATGTAAAAAAAAAAAAAAAAAAAATAAATTTGGAAGTGTCACACGTGTGGTTTCAGTAGCTTAGGGAATGTTGTTAAAAAAACAAACTCTTTATTGCAGCATATCTGGTATTTATTGAAAGTTACGGAACATTTTACGATCCCAAAATAAAGAAAAACAAATCTCAGCTTTAACAGAAAGTAAGAATAGTTATCTCCTTATTAAGGCTGGAACTGCATCCTCTCATCTTCTGCCAATAATTAACCTGTTAACAGGTTAAAAGCATGTTTTTCCTGAAAAACATTGTGACAATATATTTAATAGCACTTTGATATGTGGAGGGACTTGCATTTCTGGTATTTATTCCTACAGAAATACAGATAGGCCTATTAACTTACAGACAGGTAACAGGTAAATGGGGCTGGGAAAAAAGTCTTTGCTTATAAACTGCCTTGTGCTTAAGAAGATAAAAATATCCCAAATTGTATCTTCTTTTTTAAGAAAACAAACAAAAACACAACAAAAAAAAAAACCAAAAAAAACCACAACACCAAACAAATCCCCATGTGTTTTAAACAAAAGAAAAATAATAAACCTGCAGAGGTCTGCCTGCACCTTTTTGATATCTACATGAAAAATACACAAAAGTGAAGTTTATTTCATCCTTCCTCAGAAGAGCCATATAGGACCGCTAGACCATTCAGTGCTATTTTAGCTATCTCTAAAAAATCCAGTGCATTGGATTGCACTGTGTAACATATGCATAACTGCCCCTAGTTGCTTCCTCCAGCATCTAAGCAGACTACCTTACAGAAAGGAAAACCAGCTACATCACAGCATTCCAAAAGCATTAGTTGATCTTAAGTAGAAAATGCTTGTGGGGATAAAGTATTTAACTAAGCATGCACATAATAATTCACTTTTAGAAGACAAACTTGCATCTACATTGCCCAAACTATAGAGCTTTAAAGGAATAAATATTGACCATGAAATTTAACATGCATATTGCTGGGATAAGTTTTGACCTATCTATGAGTCAACAACAAAAGTTGAACTCCTAGCAATGAGTGATAAAAGCCTTGGATTATAAGGACTGTGAAAGTCCTCACAGTTCTGAAAGTACCAATTACACAGATTAAGCACCACAGATCCAATTAAGTTTTAGGTATGCTGGAGGAGAAAGAGATCTGATAGGCAACACTGAATCAACTTTCACTGTCTTAAGGATTGCCTCTATTAGATGTCAAGGCATACTAATACTCCAACTAAACAAATCGTGCATTCTGGGTATGACACTTTCTTTTGACATGCTTTACTCCCCCAAAATTCTAGGCCTGATACTGAAACAGGTTTTATTCAAGCAATCATGACTCCTATTGAGGAAACAAGGGGGATTGCCATATATTCTGTGAGTGGTTTTAAACCTCTCTCTCCCTTCTACACACACGTGACTCTGTAGAGCAGATGGGCCTCTCAAAACCATCTATATGATTATTTTCACAATGTTGTACAGCTAACTAGAAATGTCATCAGAAAGATTATTTCCCTTTATTTCAAGCAGGGTTGATCATCCAAGAATGGAGGCATTAACAGAATCACTTAGGAGGGCACTCATCCACATCATTTAATAAAACTAATAGAAAATTTATGTAAGAATAATTTCTGCTAATGCATAAGGATTCCCTCCTATGTTATCATGTGTGTCTCCCCCAGGTTAAATGTTAAAATTGCTGAGGTAGCACTGGCTACAAGGTGATTCCAAACAAAGAAGTGCTTACAGCAAGAGTAGATGTCACTGAAAAATTCTGTGAGTCAAACCAGACATCTTCCCAGAACTTACAATGCCAGATGCTATCAGGACAGAGATAACAGTACATTGTTTCCTAACTTGTAGGCAATATACAAAGAACCTATATTGAAGGAAGGAAAAATACTAATCTTCACATAATACAAGAGAACAACCAAACAGACACTGAAGAGTTTTCTAGGTCAGCTTTCCAAAGTAATGTCATCCATCTTCAATTGTTCGTTTACTTTATTTTTTCCTTAGTTGGATATTTAAGAAGTTGCATCAAGTTTCATCTTTTGTTGTTTACAAAACAGCATGAAGCCATGGGCTTTGGGCCCAACAAAGAAGAGCTGAGAGCGGCTGGACCACGTAACATGAACCGTAAGCATCACTTACCAACTAGCAGTTACATTACTGCCCTATTTCATAAAGCCAGAGTAACAGATTCACAGAACTAAAAAAGCAACTTGTACTATTCCTGTTTAACATAGAGTGTGAAAACATAAAAAGTTTTCAAACATACATGTACATTGAACCAATTCAGAAGGATACCAGTCACAGCAAATAGAACACATATAACAAAAGTTTCAATAGCTACACTTTTCTAGGTTTCCAATTTCATATTGGAAATAGGGATTAAAAGCACCTGGAGTTCGGAAGTACCACTGTTAATAGCCTGTGTGACTTAGTGACAGGGAAAAAAATATTCTAGAATATCAATTTTCAAAGCTAACACGTGTTAAAAATATTACAAATTAAGCCTTTTAACAACTTTTACCATTAATCAAGGAGTAACAGCAAACATAGAAAGTAAATTACTGTGAAGCTCTAGCATTACCTATTTCCTGCTATTCAAGAACATGCAATATGAATAATAATAAACAATAATACTCTATCACTTTAAGTTGTTAGTGAGATTCATGTGTGAAGTTTATTTGTTTGCTTATTTTACTAATGGTATCTAATGAGTTGATGGTTAGTGCCATAAAATATTCATGCTACTGTGAAAATGTGATGTTTGTTCTATTTTAATGAGTGCTACATAGTCCCATGCATGGCATTGAACACAACTAAATATATATATATATATTAAATTTCATACCCCTGTGTTTAATAGACTGAGAGTAGATATTGACGCAAGACTGCCAGAACTGTCATCCTAATGAGAAAAACAGAAGCAAAGCCTTAGTGAATAAATGAAGGAAAAGACCATTATAATATAGCAACATGCAAGCCAAAATTTAAATTCACATGTAGAGTATTTGTACTCTATGTTTGAAGAAACATAGATGTGTCTGTTCCTCCTTCTTCTCCAGCCCTCAAAATATATAAACACACATACAAAGACTTCCCACTTGTGCAAGTTGTGCATAGACATCTATTGGACTATTTTTCTGTTTTAATTGAAGTTTCATATTTTCTAAAATCAGCACCTTTGCCCAAAGAGAGATCTTTTCCATGGTGCTTCTCAGGTGCATGACAAAAGGCACTCCCCAATGTCCTTGTCTCTCCCTAGTCCACATCACCCATAAAAGTTACACTTATTTAAACACTAGCCTTGGAAGATAGGCTGTTAAAAAGGAAAGAACAAGACATTGCCTATAGGCTGACACAAGAAAACAGAAACTGTTTCCTCTGAAAATGAATCTTGAAGACCTTGCTTTCATTCAGATTATTTTAGATTGCATCTCACACCCAATTAGATTTTTACCTGTAAGCTAGTTAGCTTTAAAGCTCAAAAATGAATACTCAAGAATAGTACTTGCACTGTGGAGTAAGGGAAAAGAAACATAACTGGACTTGGTTAAGCATTTGGCAAGAAACAAAATACTAGCATAACTTTCAAACAGAACTTTCACATTCAGCATTTGGGTTTTTCTATTTAATGTGAGAGGGTAGAAAATGTCATTAAATAGCACAGCCACTTAGAGTACGCCTTTAAATCCCCCACCTTCCCTCCTGCCATCTTATAATTAGTATTTCTAAATTGAAAGCTCAAAAGTCAACCACACCTCAACCTCACAGGTGAGCTGATGAGAACTAAGATACATTTGTAAGACTTTGAGAAACAGTCACTTAAATTAAAAGTAAGAATCTAAGCAGCAATCTGAAATGCCTCATACCACATTGCAGCAAGGCAATCAGGCAAAAGCTTGCCTGACTACAGGAGACCCCGTGCAACAACAGCTCTGCAGGTTTCCATTCAAAAGTCAAAGCTGGTTTTCTAATGGAAAAGCCTAGCTTAAAGACAGAGGGAGGAGAAAAAGAAAAGACGACACAGCAATTGCTTTTAAGCATTGGATCACAGCACCTGGAAGAAAGAAAAGAAGTTTTTTATGACGCCTTCAACATCTGCACTGTTCTTGTACCATGCATACCCCAGGCTAATAAAAAGCATTTTAAAGGCTTCCTTCTCCCTTGCCACACTATTTTCTCCTTGTCAGTACTGAAGTACCACGCCAGCCTCAGAAGGATAAGGCTTATACCAACAAAAAAACCCAAACCAAACCAAAACCACCACTTTAAAAAAAAGTCCATGAAAGACAGCATCTTTACCACCTGAATCTTTTTGCTAAATCCTGTCCTAAAATTTTGCTAAATCCTAATTTGATACAACGCTGCCTAGATGACAATTTTGCTACCACAGCACCTCAAGTTCACCAGTATAACTCTGCTTAACCTGCAAAAGCTCACTACTTAAGAAAAGAAATAATTATTTTTATCTGTGTCATCCTTTGCTAAAGAAACTCAAAGGTCCAACAGAGGGGGAGGTATCCCATCAAAAAGAGGATCTAGAAGACAAAAAAAAAAAAAAAATCTAGCGTCCCACCAAACCAAAGCAAACGTAGTTCAATCCTTTTTATTACCTCAAGGTTGTTTCTATGATGTTTCCCAAAAAAACCAGCAACTTCCAAGGACAGAAATGAAAATATGTACAATGCCTGTGCTTTCTTTTTCAGCTTTAGAAGAGAAAGTTTGCTTCAATACTCTTCATAGTTGTCCTCAAAGACTTTTTTTTTTTAAAAAAAGAAAAAAAAGAAAAAAAAAATTCAATCAGAAGAATTCACCTCAGTAGAGTCAACATCTCTGTGGTATTTTCAAAACATTAGTCCCATGTTCACTGGAGAGTACTCCCCTGAAGCTGCATTTGTGCCACCAACGTAGCACAGACATTATGACAAGTTCGCCTTGACAAGTTCTCCCTGTCAAAGCGGTGAGTAAGCCCTGGTGCGAGGAGCTGGACTGTATTTTATGTCCTTTATGCATCTGTCTCACTGAGGCCCTACGAGTTTCATTACCATTTTACTGACAAGATAATCATTGCAAATATCTACAACACTGGGGAGTGTCTTTTAAAGACTTCAACATAACACTTCGTTTTACCTCTAAGCATACCATTTTACTGACTACACAGTGTCTACAAAGAAAACCATCACAGTCTTCTCAATGCTGCTAGTAGACAAATTGTTTATTCAGGTGTTACATGTTCCTTGCAAGACGCAATATCCCCATTTATTGTCTGTCCTGGTTTCAAGGCAGTTTGTTACCGACGTATTACTACCTGTATCTGCTAAACAGACAGAAGTCTTGCCTTTCTCTTCTCTCCAGTAGTAGTGCAAGACAAGCCAACATGATGTCTATCTATGTAAATATCTGCTTAAGAACCACTCCTATGAAAGAGCATCTGGCACTGTATTTATCTACTTCAGACATTCAAATCCTTAGATTTGTTGACAAACATGCCATATACACTTTTTAAGCATTAGGAGCTTCGTGCATTGTTAAACTGAAACAACGAAGACTGGAGGGAAGGGTTAATATTGCAAGTTAGGAGGTCTGAGTCGTATGAAAACTGATTCAAAATGCATCTGTTCCTCTGAAGCAAAACCTCCAACAACTCGTCCCTGGGAGACCATGGGAGTTGTGCTGATTCAGTGAATGCAATTTCTCCATTACATTTCAGAGTGGAGATAATGACATCAGAAAAACAGGCAAGTGAAAACATGGGGTTTTAGCCCTCAAGTACAGTATTTTACTTCAAAGATTTCAAAGCCACCCAAAAATAATATTTTCAGAGGTTAGTTGTAGGACAGTAATCCAGTCATCAAAATCAGAGGGAGTATTTAATGGACTATTTAAAAATAATATCCTCCATTTTGTACACAACGTGACAGCTTTTGGAAAAGACTGCTCTACTTCTCTTCTGAATAAGCAATCATTTCTAAATCACTGCAACCTTTTCATGGTGTGTCAGATTTAAATAGAAAAGCTTTTATCCCCCCCACCCCCCCCCTTCTTTAAGGCTGTCAATGACAGCATTTTGTTAAAACTTCTGATAAAGTGTGAATTTGGTGTATGCTTTACTTGCATCTTACACATCTTGCACTATGTATTTCCATGTTTTGAGTTCACCTAAATTTGGGCATATTAGGAAAAAAGCACCATGCTACTTTAAACAAATTAATAAAAAGTATTCAAGACTGCTTTAATAAAAAGCAAGAGCTAAATTTAATGATTTGATATTCAGAATCATTTTGATCACAGATTAGAAGCTCTTTTCTTTAACCATAAGCACAAAAAAATGAAATTGAGCTTGCATTTTTAAACATAACTTGCACTCCAGTCAATACACACCAAAATGTTACACATCAGCCCACAAACTGGTTTCTGCTTTAAAAGTTTCTGTACTAAAATATGTCAGCAGTCTAATTTAAAGCAGATTTCTGTACAGACCGAAAAGAATTTACCAGACTGATCATTAATGATCACATACTTCTTATAACAGCCAGTTTTATTAGCTGCAGTTCATGAAAAAAGGCACACTTCCTAACACCATCAAATGCATTTGACATTTGCAGTCCTAAGGAGTTGCTATTTTCCCTTTTTAAAAAACAGGGAAGGAAGGCAGGCCAGAGGAGGGAGATGTCCAGCAAAAGAGTTGGCCTCAATCACATCCTGCCTGGGCAGCTCTAAATCCAAGGAGAGCTGAGCGTGCCAGCAGCTGCGAGCAGGGAGATGCAGCTGCCAAGAACTTTCAACCTCTGACCCAGTTCGAGCTAGAGCATCTCGCCCAAAGCATGCTGATGGCAGCACAGCTGCAGGGGACTTTGCCATTTCCCCAGCCAGGCAAACCCCGCAGGTTGCTTTTCCACAAAAATGTTTATCATCTTCTACATATGCTAAGAAACTTGCAAAGAAATTATTTACAGTAATATTCATTAGACAGTCTCAGAAGGCAGACCTGTCTAGCATCATTATCTGAAAAATGTCTGAAACAGTATCTCAAATTAAGTTTCTGGATTTTCCTGGAAGTTATTCAAGATATTAGAATCACTACCTGACTGCTCTGCAGAGGCATATATAGCAATGGCCAGTTGATCGACAGTGACTGGAAGCCACAAGCATTCATTTAAATGTAATTATCAATTTACTACATCATCCAAAGATAACAAAGGAGGCTTCCATCAGCCAGGATGGAAACAGGGCATGTGAGCTCTACCACCCTTTTGACTATAAATCTACAATGATGCAATTTTTTTCTTGTTTTACTAATAGGGAAGTTCTTTAAGCTTCACAATATTGCCATAAACCTTTGATAGAAGTATTATCCTTTCACAAAAGACTTCCTCCTTCTATTAATTATGAAGTTTTTCCTGTCATGAGTTAATTTTTCCTGCAAAAGGACTTCTTAAGATCTCATTTTTCATCTGAAGGATGCTGACTCATTACTGAGTTTCCTTAATCAAGGGTTTATTTGCACTCTCCCAAAGCTGGCCACTGGCATCAGTAAAGTCACAGAAGTTTCTGTTCAACCATGCAGAACGGCATAGCTGTTCAGGAGCCACAAGATTTGTTGCTAATAGTAAAGTGCCATAAACTCCCTCACAGGCAGCTTGCCTACAGCTTAAGCCTCTTCTACCTGAATAGTCTTACACCTAGAAGCTCATTTTAAAAAAGCTGGTAAACAGTGAATACCCATTGTTCTGACCACCTATAGCTATAAAAAATGTGAAAAAATGCAGGTTTTGTATTTCAGATCACACTTGATCCCTTGACTTCAATTTAGAAAGTCAATGTGGAAGTTTGTAGAGACACTCCATGTAGGATATGAAACATTCTGCCAGGTTCACAGACTTACTTATGAACAGAACATATTAAGCTTTAATCATATATCAATCTACTTCTTAAAAGCCTCATAACTGCATTCTTGCCTATATTCTTTTTACTTATCTCCTGTAACAGTCTAGAGACTTCAGTCAGCCATTCAAAGTGAAGATACTATTTTCCACTGATTTTCAGTAACCAAGCGTGCCTATATTCATTCTAATCCATTGCCAGTCTAGCAAAGTTGAACATCTTTGAGAAAATAAACCACTGGCTTTTCTTCAAAGGCATATGCACAAGGAGCTATATTATAAATTTTAAACACAGAGCCAAAACATTTGACATGTTAAATGTGGAGACTTTAGGGTCACCTCAATTTAAGAATCAAATTTTCTCAAGTATTGTAGATCTAACTCTGTGCAGAATATACCATCAATCTGGATCCCCCTTTGATAAGTATGTATCTTAGCTCATGATGCTTTACCTAAAGACTACGCATGCTTTATCTAAATTAGAAGCTATAAATATTAGCTATTACTGACACTTTACTCAAGATTAGGATCACTATTGGATTTATATAATCTAGCAACCATTATAACACAAGCCACATGACTAGTGGCTAGGACCAACTCAATCATGTTTAAAGACAATACACTGGTTTAATGTATTTGCTTTTCTGCCATGCTGGAGAAGTCAAAAAAATGGCAGCACTACAGTTTAGAAGAAAAACAGTCACTGAGGGACAACAGGATAAGAAAATAAGACTATTTCTGCAGATTATTACTTGGTCTTCAGAACAAACATCTTCATTACTAGAAAACGGGAAGCAGATGACTGGTAGCATTGTGCACATTCTCCCTTTCTCAGGATGTAAGAAACATCTGGATTTTTACCACAGTATTTTCATAGCACAAGGCCAACAGCATTTATCTGCAAGTAAACTAAGAAAGAACACTTGCCCTCTCCCACCCAAAAAGGGAAACCATTTAAATATGGAAAATTGTATTTGAAAATGTTGAAGCAGCATCCCGTTTACTTCAGAGTAAATAGCACTTGCTGCAATCTTATCCTACGTTATTTCATTGTGTGACCAGTCCCATTACAAGTCCTTCAAAAAGGACCACTTGTTTTTCACTTCAGTTGCTTCCAAAAGGCTCTCTTCCCCACGAAGCTCTTTCTAGAAGACAGCTGAATACTGCTTCATTCACAGCCATTTGCACCTGCCAAACACATCAGCTTATATGGAATTTAGGAAAGGAGACAGAGAAAGCAGCTCTCAAGAGATTCAAGTTACTGTTTTCACCAACACAAGGGACATTCACATTTCTTATGTCAACAAATCTTTCAACCTCAGGATTGCATGTTAACATGAAGTTAATGATACACTACCAATTGCTCACCTTTAAAGACTATACCATTTTATAATTATTTTATCAAATTAAAGACAGACTCCACAGGAACAAATATATGGAAGTGCAACTTGGTATCAGGGGAAGGAAATGAGAATTACCTTTCTGTAGTACCCCAATAACTCCAAAATAAGTTTAACTTACATTACTATTTTGAAGCAAAAAGATTTTTAATCTCATTGAAGGTGTAAGTGAAACAAGATTACATGCTTCAGAATTCTAAGTAATTTGTCACAAGTTATTCAGATAGTAAGTCTTTCAGGCAAGGAGGACTATGGAAAGATGAGTTAGAGCAAAAAAAACCAAACCCCAAAATCCCAGTTTTGCAACACTAGAATATCCAAGAATTCTTTAAGAGGATAACTTTTACTAGATTAATACCTAGTTTGAAGAAAAACTGAATATACAAGTATGACTATGGTTTTATTACACATAACAGGTAAAAGTAACTCAGAACTGAACTTCATAAACAAAGCCTAGAGTATTTCACAATCAATCACTTTACCATTAAAAAAAAGGTAGCATATCATGTTAAATAAGACAAAATTTTATGGGAAATTAATATAGCTTCTGATGTTTTGACCTAAACAGCTTAAACACTTTTTGAACATATATCAGCTTTTTATAAGCACTGAGATGCACTAAAGAATGTACCAGATAATCATAAAACACTTCTCAGTAACTACTATTCTTTAGACAAAGCCCCAAAAGAGTCTTCCCAGAGCACTCCATGGTTGTATAGTAACAACACAGGGGTAACAGCAGAGAACTGCAAGACTTACACATTAATTTTTACAAGTTTTGTACCTAGAGTTGTGTCATGTTTACTTACCTGCTGAATAATTTTGGAATCCTTTGGAAGGTTTTCCCTGGGTGGGACTTTTCCAAACAACTTCCAACCAGGAGCGCTTTGGACAGCAGGTTTGAGTTCCTTTGTCCTTTTAGTGAAAAAGTTTCTGAAAAAGAGAGGAGGGTTTTCTTTTTGTTTATTATAAGCATATCAACAAATTATATTTGTACCCACTTACATTTCTTAAAATCAAGTTCACCACTGCAGAGATTTACTGCTCAGTAGATACATAGTGTGCTACCTTAGCTTTCTCTTATACAATAAAATAATTAACTTGAAGCGGAGCGGCTTTCATTACAGATGCTTTGATACTAATATATTTGTACGCTGAATTCTAAGCTACTTTATGCAATATTAGAGTTCTTTTAGTAATACCAGACACTTTCTTAAATACAAGTTAGCAGCATGCAACAGCTCTCAAACTTTTGTTTGGGGTCTGTTTTAGTGTATCTTATGGAGCTATTTGGAGACTGAAAACAGCTGGAAATTACTGTGTAACTTATAGATTTAAAAAAGAAATGGTGAACTATTACTTCTACTAACATTTTCTGCAAACTTCACACCTTCAACTTTCATAACATGGACTAGAAAACCAGAGGACATGCACACAGCTTCAGTTTAGCAGATAACCTTTGCCAGTGCCTAAATCAATTACACTCAAACAGGCAGATGACTGCATTGCTTTATTACTTCTTAGAAAGCCAACCATCACCAGATCATATTAGCAACCATTTGTCTAGATACACGGATATACTGTTTGACTCCAATCACAAGCTCCCACAGAGCATGCTATGTACAAGTACTTTGAAAATGAAAGAACTGCATTTATTCTGAATATTGGAAAGTTACTTTCCAGAAACTTATGAACAACACAGAGGGATTAAAAATTAAGTAGTCTGTAAGGTTAATTCTCAGAATGCTTACAAGTTGACCTCTGAGCAAACAGAATATGGAGCACTTTTATTGAAAGATGGTTTTGTGCACCACTAACTAGCTAACTTTGTACTTTCACACTCTTCCTCTGGAAAGAGATTCCCAGATTTATTCTTCACTTACAGCATTTGCTATATTTTAAAATACGTCTCCTTCTCAAATTGAATGCATTCACATTTGTGCATAGAAAAAAGTCTCCTGGCTTTCCCCAGATAGAAGTAGCATGCTTCAACAACCACAATCAGTCTGAAAAGTGCATGGTTGCTCTTAAATTCCAGCGCTGTCAGGGTTTCTGACCAAGCAGCATAGTTTTACAATTAGGTGTTAGTGTTTATAAGACATTGTATAGCTTTCAAATACAAACTATATTTTCAGTTCCCAGAATGTTTTTTGTTATTTGGGAAACAAGCAAATGCCTGTCACAAAGATCCCTTCTGTGCAAGTTTGTGTGAACAGACTCTACAGATACTTGTGTGTAGCTGAAGATCTAGCCACCAGACAACAGCAAGCTGGAGAGAAGGAGAACTAGATGCTGATACAAGTGTGAAAGTCTCCCAAAACCCAGTAAACTTTCTAAAGACCAACGTGTCACTAAATATGACACTACAGCCTTGCCCTTAAATCTGCAACTACTGCAGCAGCTGTATTTGAACTTAACTGGAAGAGATTTATTTTTTTTTTTCCTCAAAAGCAGATATCTTCCTCCAGAAGATACATTCTGGAATGCCGTTCTTGAAGTACGAAATAACTCATGCATCCTGACTTCACACATAGCCATAACCATCCACTCTCTGCACATACTATGGAATACCACCAGGATTACCTAGCAGTTCAGTTCTATTGCTTCTAGCACTTGTGGAAGCTGAAAAGATGTATGCCTTTAACACTGCTGGCAATCTGTCACTTATCAAAGCTGTCTGATGATTAACCAGGAAGCTGGCAGATTTAAAAAGCAAAAACGTGTAAACACACAGAAGGTTTTAATTAGTATTTCCGTACAAAAGATTTAAGCATGCTCATGGCTCTTAAGAGATTTTATTTTTAAAATTTTTAAAAACAAATAGAACATTAAAACAAACCTTCCACAACATAGTCCCCACAATAACGAATCTTGAGGTTTGGTCTTTTGTGTTTTGGATTTTTTTTGATAGTCTTTGGTGTACTGAATTAAGCAAAGGCTCGTTTTGCTTTTTATGAAAGTACAAGTGAAAAATACAGTTTTCCTTTTATTGAGCAGATACTCGCTGAAGTCTGTTTCTTGTGAAGGCAAAAATCTGGTCAAACTTGATACCGTGTCAGAATAAACCTCACATAGGAATTCTAATCCAAGAGAAATTAATGGAAGGTTTACAAAGAAGCTTGCTGAAGATGGAAGGACACTTTTAATACACTGTTTTGGCAGCTAACAGTATCACATCTGATGTGTTGTTGACAACAGTAAAGCCTTACAAAAGCCTTGTTAAGGAACAGCATCTGTGAATGCTTACAAGTTGCATTCACTGAATTGCAGGAAGTGTACTAGATTTGATATATTTGTTGCTGCTTAGAATATTCATGAGTTTCACTGATCCCAGGAAAAGTCATCCATTGAGATGGACTGAAAAGTCAATAGCATTTTGGTACAGAATCTCAAAATCCATTTGAAAACTTAAAAATTCTTTTAAAAGCAGCCTACACTTTAAAACTGAATAATGCTTTCTGTTGAAAGGACCTGTGGGATAGACGTATTAAATTAGTTCATTGAATTAAGCTCAAGTTTACAAAAGCCCAATGGAAAAGTTGCAAGATTTTTTTCCCTGCTAGTTTTATATAACCACACTGGAATGCATATTAACACTCTCAAATGACAAAAATGTTTCAGAAGGTGCACTGAAGAGCCTGAAAAGTAACTGATGCACCACAGAGTAAGAAGCCGTTACTGGCACATACCAAGATATCTATTCCTAACATTGTTTGGATTACACGATACAAAAACCTATGGGCTCTCACGTTCACACAACAGCTGTAGTAACAGCTATAAGTGGTAGTTTTCTTTCTTATTTAACAACAGTGCTTCAACTATTCCTGCTTGTGCCTATGATGCACTAGGCAACAGTTTCACCATACTGATGGTACAGTAACTCAAATATGTTAACCATTTCCACGGATGACAATAATATATTCTAGTAATGCAATTGCTTGTTTCCACTCGGCTTTTGCTTTTCAAATCACCTGTTTGTTGCTGTTTAAGATAAACTGGTGAAGTATAAATGCAGTTGGAATTAAGTCTCAGAAGTGGATACGTGGAATTTCATATTTTAATGGGAATTTTTTTTTTGTTTACTTTTGGGTTTTGGCTTTCTGCATCACCATCTCAAAACCTGAACACAAAACTTTTTTCCACTTTTTGAGCTAGCAGCATGCCAGCCCAAGAGGATGACAGATCTCCAAGTTTCAAAGGAAGGTACTGGAAAATACCAGAGACAATTATTTCAAGCTTGATGTTAAATTTCATCCAACACCAGACTAGAAACTGGGCTGCTATATTTCCACAACAGCCACTCAAAGCAAGCTGAAGTGCTTTGAATAGCAGCACCCATGATCATCAGCAGGTAGGAAAGGCACCACACTAGATACAACTCCAGCACTCTGCCTCTAGATATAATTGATTCACCTCTCCACAAGACCAAGGAGTCTTGTGATAGTCTTCTGTTTGACCAAAAACGTCAAACTCAAAACCAGTTTCCAGTTAGATGTCATTTTGCTACAGTTCGATCAAAGATCACACACATAGATCTTCCCTTTCTACAACTCCACTGTGTGTCAATAACAACAGGCTATGAGTATTTCGCCGCTTTGTGCATCCCAACAAAACCTGAAGTTGCTTTCCTGCCCGCTCTAAATGCACATCCTTGGGTTTCCAGTCTTAACTCTGAGCCCCAAGGGAGCCTGCCAGAAGAATAATCTCTGATGATTCAGAGCTCTGATATCATTGAGATCTAGTACGGCATTATTGGAAGTCAATGACTTCATTTACTGACTATTTTTCCCTAAAACTCCCATTTGAGTCTCCAGTGTTCTTAACAGTAACACTTGGAAACAGTATTCACAAACCTGCATCTGCCCTTAGTCCTCTAGCTCTAAAACAAGATGTAGATCCCGAGTCACGTCTCCACTTCCTCCATAAAACTGTAACCTGTAGCCTTTAAACCCATACATTCAACACCACTTGTGAAGTGCCAGTCCCAGCTTGGAATGCTACAGGACTAAAGGAAGTTGTTCGGTAGCACAGCTGTTCTAACCTGGTAGAGAAGCAGAAGTATGAACTGTGCTAGAACCACAAAGGAAAAAGAAAACAGTAGTTTAGAAATCTGTGAAATGCAACTAAGTTGTGAGATGGCAAGCTAAAACACAGTCCTGGTGCATACAGCTTAATGTGCATTGTTAAAGTACTTTTAATGTAATTGCCTAGAAAGCCACCCAAACTGTTTAGCCAGTGAGTCTAGTAATGCAGTTTCAATCTGATTTTTAAAAGGCATAGCAAACTCAAAGATAATTAGTCAGCCAAAGCAGACAAGTGTCCTAATAGAGATTTGCCTCCTCCACATCGAAGGAGAGCTTGCAGCACTGTTCTACTTCTTATTAGGTATTAAGAGAATCAAATCATTAGCACTCCACCTTCAGACCCAAGCTTCACCTGTTCTGCTGCTTTTAGTTATTTATATACAAATTTCAAGTGCAGAAGAAGCTTGGATCTTACACCTGAGCCATTTAAGATGAGTATCAGCATGAAGCATATTAAAATGAGCCTACCTTTCTCCAATTTGTTAATCCTGCACTATGAAAAATGGCAAAAATCAAGTGCTATCAACTACTGAGACAAGGATATGGTCTCAGAAGAGAGCATAAAACACAGGATCATCATTACAGTTACACCTGAGCAACCAAGTATGCTTCCTTACAGTTTACTTTAATACACAAATAAATCTCATTCAAAATGCTGCACTAGTTAGACAACAAAACGTGGGAATCCCTGGAAAAACAATCTTTGCAAAACTTGAAGTTTGGCACCAAAGAAACAATTTTTTTTCCAAGTAAAAAGCTCAGAATTCAGGGTTGTCTTAGAAATAAGTGAGTACTGTTTTTAAATCTTGATGCTGAAAGC